TGAAAGGGTTGATAGAGCGTTAAAAGAAGTTGAAGATGTAAGTTTAGTAATTCGGGTGCATAATTTTATTATATTGATTTTAAACATTTTTATTTTTTATTTTATCTATTTTAGACCCTTAACCAACTTAACGATAAACTTGATGAAGTAAGTTTAGTTATTTGGAAATATAATATTCGTATTAATTTTAACTTCTTTTTTATGATTATCCGTTTTAGTCCTTCCAAAAAGTTTGCGATAAGATTGATGATAAACTCGATGAAGTAAGTTTAGTTATTCGGAAATATAAAAACATTATGATATTAATTTTAAATTTAATGTTTATCCATTTTAGGGTCTGAAACAAGTTGATGATAAACTTGATGCAGTAGCTCAACGTATAGACTATATGCAAACGACCAAACAAGGTGATGCGAAAAGGGTTGATCAAAGTGAATTAAGTGACCCTATGACTCAAGAAAATAGAAGCAGAGTTATTAAAAAGATTTATAAAACATCAATAGAAGTTGCATGTAAACCTATTGATGATGATCACCACGGAAACGAATTAGCGATTCTTGGCAGATTAAGTCTATCACCTCAGATTCTTAAGTTTTATGGGCACTCAGTAGTTAATAACGCTCAAGTTATGATCTTTGAATGGGCTGATCGAGGAAATTTAATGGAACTTTATGAAAAGTATGACATTCCTTGGACTAGAAAAATACAGATTGCCAAAGATATACTTCTTGGTCTTCTATTTTTACGTACGGTAAATGTTTTCCATCACGACATTAGGTGCGAAAATGTTTTTGTAAGTACAATTAAATAATATTAAAGTATTAAAGTTTGGAACTGTTTAAATGCGTAAAAATTGTCCCGTAGTTCTGGCTCGAATTATGTTAACTGTGGGCTAAAGTTAACTTAATGCAGCTGAATTAAAAGTTAATGCAGTTAACAGTTAAACAATTAGAAAACACATGGGCGGAAAACTTCATTTTAGTATTAGATAAATTAAATGATGGGATTACATAGAATTTGAACCAATAATATATATGATATGATGTGATTACTAAGATTAAAAGTGATTATTTGCCAGTGATTGTAAAATTGCTTATGAATTGCTTATGAGTTACTTATCAGTTACGTATTAGTTTTCGTACGCTGTTCATGAGTTAAGTAACTAAAAAAACAACCCACATATGAGCGGAATTTGTGATGTTGGTGATTCAAATTTTAATAACCGCAACATTACATTAAAAGTTTTCGCCCATATGATTTTTTTAACAGTTCCAATCTTTATACAATAGAACGTCTATAAATGATAATTACTGACATTAAATTATAGGTGCTAAGAGATTTGAGTGTAAAACTTGGAAACTTCGGATGCGCGCGTGAAGTAGATGGCAATTCTAGAAATCTTTCATATTTAGCAACTTACATTATTCGTTGGATGGCTCCTGAGCTAATCGATAAATATATTAATGGTCAAGTTAACAAAAAAGTATATACATTTAATTGTGAAATGTTCAGGTAATTATTGGATATTTGAACTTGTTTACTTTATTTTCTATTTTTTAATCATTCTTCATGATTAGTTTTGGAATGCTTTTATGGGAACTTTGCTATGAAAAGCTTCCTTATACTGGTTGGGGTATTAAACAAATATCTAATCATGTCTTGAATGGTAAACGAGAAAAGCTTTTAAAAGGAAGATTTAAAAACCCTGACGACAATATAATTCAATCAAAATTTATTAAGATCATTCAAGATGGTAACTCTATTAATATTTTTCTTTTATTTTTTTTGGTTTACTGATTATATACTTATTTTTTAATTTACTTTTTTGTTTGTATATTTGATAAAAGCATGGT